GGCACTTTGTTAGTGCTAATCAGAAGAATTGGGCGAAGTTACTAGACGTCGCCCAATTTTCGTATAACTTCCAGCAAAGCGAGGCTACAGGGCAAAGTCCCTTCCAAATCATAATGGGACAACAACCATTGACACCTCAAGAGTTGGCTAAAGCTTATAAAGGGTCTAGCCCACCCGCATATAAATTCGTAAAAGGATGGAACGAAGAACGTGATATAGCAATATCATACTTAACAAAGGCAGCTAAACGTATGAAGAAATGGGCAGATACGAAAAGACAACCACGAGAATTCATAGTGGGCGACGAGGTAATGGTCAAATTCCCACAAAGAATGTTTAAATCCACCCGAAAAGTGCACAAAGGGTTTAACACGAAGATATGAAGGACCATATCAGGTGATGCAAAAGGTCGGGACTAGATCATATAAGCTAAACTTACCATCACACTTGAAGGTCCACCCTGTATTCCATGTAAGTCTCCTTAAACCTTACAATAGAGATGAAGAGGACCCTTCTAGGAGTGAATCCCATCGGGCTCCAGTTGCAAACGTGATCTCCTTTGATAAAGAAGTAGACGAAATTCTAGCCGATAGAGTAATCCGCAAAAGAGGATCACCAAACTGGATTGAGTACTATGTTCGATGGAGGGGACAACCCGATACTGAATCCAGTTGGGAACGAGAACAAGATTTGTGGTTGTTTAAAGACAAGATCGAAGCATACAAGTCCCAGGCTTGACGAGGACGTCAAGGATTTCAGTGGGGGAGGGTGTCACGAATTGGGGTTCTAGAATTTTCCAGACCGATCAAGAAGATGGTAGAATAAGTAATAATCTACCATAAGTCCCTAGAACGACCTAGAATTCTCTAGGACACAAAAGTATATAATAGAATTGTGTAGAAATTTGTATATAGATAAGGATCTTGTTAGAACGATCTAGAATACTCAGGAATATTCGAAACCTAGAAACTTCCCTTTGAGGAGGTGTAGGATGCCTATAAATAGGGGGATGACTCATTTGTCCAAACCATCGAAGAAGTTCCATTGTAAGAAGTTAAGTTGTATAAAGAAGCACTTTTCTTAGAAGTGTTTCTTGTCGTTCCTCTTGCTTCCTTTAATCGTTAATACATCTGAGCCATCGAAGTTAGACTGACTTAGTCGGAGAAACACTAAGTGGCACACGGTGATTGAAACATCCTGTGACACTAGTCTCTAAAGAAGATGTAAGACTTTTGTGTTTAAATGGACGCTTCTTTCAAGTGGATATGAAGTTAAGAACTATGAAGATTTTATATCGAGTCAACATCTTTGTGGGATTGGTTATGAAAGTTGTGAAAGCTATTCACAGTGATGTTGGAGGTCTAGATGGTGTGTGTTTCCGTGTAAATACTTCAGGCATTTGTAGTAATGCACTAATGCTATTACTTCAATTAAAAATCTTCAAGACAAAGATATGTATCTTAATTCTTTTTTTCAAAGAAATGTGGGAAATGATGATTCTACGAGTTTTTGGGATGACATATGATATGGTGATATATCTCTTAAAAATCATTTTTCTAGAGTTTATGTGTTGGAGGTTGAAAAATGTTGTGTTGTCAAAGATCGGGTGGTAAATGGTGATATGAGTTATCTCTTCGAGAAGGGATTTGGTCATTGCAATGGGACGGGTTGCAAGTGGTTATTCAACATATAAATGTGTGCAATCAATCAAGCTCGTGGATTTGGTATCTTAGATATGATGGTTTGTTTTAGGTTGGGTCGACTAGGAATTTTATTTATTCATAAACATCACCAACTCATAATTAAAACCCTAACTCCTCCTATAAGGACCAATATATTGGGTTGGACATTTGTTTTGTATAGAAGTTGAGGTTGGCTTTTTATTGTGTATGTTATGTGATGTTAGCGTGATAGCGTCGATACTCAAGAACAACTTCTAAAATTTTGTTTTGTTGCAGAATCAATTTGTAAGTAGATTGCTAGATGGCGGGATATTGACAATCTCATATGTGGTTTGACTATTGATAAACTAATTTGTGTCGAGACATGTGCCCTAAATAAAACTCAACTCAGACATTATGTTTTGATATGGTCGTGTTTGCTACGATTTGAGTGCTTTGGAACTTTTTCTTCAACATGTTATTTGGAGGCTAGAAGGCAAGTAAAAACTCAAGTATTGAAAACAATTCATCACAGATGGTCTCATTAAGCGAACGAACTCATGAGTTCTTCTCTATAAATCCATGCGAACCTTCTAGGCATCTAAAAACTAATTTTATGGGTTTCTATTAAATGTTTAACTAAAATAGTTCAAATTTTAGAGAACATATAGGAATCATTGTGATTGGTTTTGAAACTACCGGTTTTGGTTTTGGTTTTGGTTATGGGACACGTTTTGTGAAATTTGGTTTGAAAAAACTTTTTTTTATTGATAGATAACATGACAACCAAATGCCAAAACAAAAAGATTAGACATTCTTTTTAGTTAGATCGGAAAAAATGTTTATGTTTACATCAAAAAATAAGTAGTATCTATTTGCAAATATAACTAATAGAAATGAAATAATAACAAAAAATGACTAGCTATTTTTGAAAAATGACCATCAATAATTTGGAATTTATTATAAACTAGTTTTATGTCATATTAAAAATATTTTTTTCTAAAGAAAAAAGAATTACATTTTGGATTCAAATTCTAGATTCCGGATAAAAATATATAAATATTTACAAACTTCACAAAATATGTCTGAAAATTCGATAAACAAATTTAGAATTTCGAAAATATGCATCATTTTTACTAAAGTATAGGGATGAATAGTTACTACCAAATTCTGATCCCGTATCGGTACCGTACCGGAACTGATACCGAACCGTACCGAATTTAATTATATGAGATGGTACTCGATACATTAAAATCATGAAATTCGAGATTTAGTACCATCGGTATGGTGAAAGTACCGAAAACCGGTACCATTGCCAGTACTGATACAGGTAATGCAAATTCAGTTTGGTATTCGAGATTGACTTTCGATCAAATTCGGTTTTCGGAAAAATTGGGAACGGTATCGGTTCCCTCCCACACTCATCCCTACTAAAATCTACAAAAATAGAAAAAGAAAAATAGCGTATGAGAAATAGATGCAATAGGAAAACATAAAATATGACATTTGACCGAAAAAAAAAATACAGTTAAATTAGAAATTCCAAATTCTAAATTTTTTTTTCTGCAAATAAAAAAATACCTATTATACACTTCATCAAATCTAGAATAGTCATTTTTCACTTTTTGACAAATATCTAAATATAAGTTCATTTCGCAATATTTTTCTAAAGTTAGGTAATTTTACCTACTACAAAACATTCCTATTTTTATCCCATTCAACAAATCTTTTGTTGAAATGTGAGATATAATTTGGGAGTTAGGGTATTGCATGATATTATTTTTTAAGATCTAAAATTTTAAAATATTTAAATTTTAAGAGGTTTTGAATTTTTAAATATCTGAATTTTTAAAGAGAAATTAAATATTTTCCTACATTTTCTTCCTACCAATCGTCATACTCATTAAAATATCATTAAATTTCATTAAATTAGCTTTAAATATTATACATGTCAACATTTAATTGGATATGATGATATGTAGGAAAAAAAGTAGAAAAATATTTAATTTCTCATTTTTAAAATATTATTTGTTTGAACTTGTGAATTGTTAAGTTTAATGATAAAAATGATCATTTAACTTTTATGTATTACTAAATTAAATATTTCTGTTTTATAAAATAACCTAACCAACTTTTTGAATAATTATAAAAGGAAAATTAAAACATCATACAAAATCTAAACTAAACATAAATCCAAATTAAACACAAATCCAAATCAAACATAAATATTTCCAAATCCACGATAACATGCTAAACATTTCAATAATACCAAACATTCCAACTAATCTCAAAAAAACCATTACACCAACATTATCTCAAAAAATCATCCCAACAACATCATAAATTTAGATCAAGAATTGTAAAGCAAAAAACATTGTCCAAAGCGAGAGACAAATAAAAAACGATTCAACAAACATAATAACCGTTCTAGTGAAAATAATCGAGTTTTAAGGCAATAAAAAAACCTTACCAAGAGGTTGTCTTTGTTGACGACTTTGAGGGAGCTAGAGGGCGGCGATGGTGGAAGTGGCTACGCTGGCAGAGGCGGTGGTCAACTGATGACGAAGGGTTGCAAATCGAGGAGGCAGTGGGAGGGAGCAAGTGGTGTCGTGTGAAGTAGAAAAAGAAAAGGGAAAGTCGGCGTCGGAATATTACAGCAAAAAAGAAGGAAACAAATTTTTTTTTTCAATTCCGACGCGCCTCTTTTTTTTTTCATTTGAACAATGTACTTTACCTTCCAACTTCAGATGACCATAAATTCTTCATATGTACTTGAATTTTGATGATCTTTATAATTTATGTCTATGAATTCGTATTCGAGTCAATGACAACTTTCTTTTATATTACTTTGGTTGAAAACTATTAAATTTTAACTTTTAATGTCATAAACAAAATTTTAAATGTTTTAGAACATGTGGATGCATCCTTTGTTATGTTAGATTAGATTGGAAATGATATGTATTTGTTATCACAAATGTTTTGAATTTTTTAGAACTCATAGACAATCAACCAATGGATGAAGATATATATTTTTCATGTGTCAAACTTATAATTACATTGTTTTATAAAATCTTACGGTTACTATTCGATTAAAGGATCCCGATTTTACAAATACTAAAACGATCCAAATAGCTATCTCAATTTTGACAACATTCGCCTGATGATTTTGAGAGCGAAAATTGTTAAGTGGAAGTGATGAACATGAAGGTTTGAAGCCCCAAAACTTGTCTTCAATTCAATTCTAGGGTTCTAAGGCAGAATCACAGTTGTTGAAATCTTTACTTTTCTAGCATCTAACAATCAAATTTCTGAATAATCGAGAGCAAATTTTACCTAGTGATGCCGTCTTTTTTCTCTCATTTCAACAAGATCATCAATTGTTCTGTTAGAACCCTAAAATCTGTGGAATCCTTCCACTCCTCTTCAACCCTTCTCTTGAACCATAATCAACAAGCAACTGGGGTTCCATCTCCATCTCGAATCCAGAAACTTATAGCTTCCCAATCAGACCCACTTGTAGCTAAAGAGATTTTCGATTTAGCTTCAAATGCACATCCAGGTTTCCGCCATTCCTACGCAACTTACCAGACCCTCATCCTTAAACTCGGTCGTTGTCGCCATTTCACCCTCATGAATTCCCTTCTATCCCGCCTTAAATCTGATCGTGGCTACACGATTACTCCTTCCCTTTTCACGCATATCATTCGCATATACGGCGACGCAAATTTACCAGATAAAGCGCTCAAAACGTTCTACACAATCCTCGAGTTCAACATTAAGCCACACACGAAGCAACTGAATGTAATCCTCGAAATTTTAGTTTCGCAGAGGACCCATCTTCGCCCTGCGTTTGATCTATTCAAGTCTGCTCATCGGTATGATGTTTCTCCCAATGTCGAATCCTATAACATCTTGATGCGTGCCTTTTGTTCTAACAACGATCTTAGCATTGCCTACAACCTGTTCAATCAAATGCCAAAGAGAGATATTGTTCCAAATGTTGAGTCTTACAGGATTCTAATGCAGGGTTTGTGTAGAAAGAGTCAAGTGAATAGAGCTGTGGAGTTATTAGATGACATGTGGAACAAAGGGTTTGTACCCGATTCTCTAACTTACACCACTGTGTTAAACAGTTTGTGTAGAAAGAAGAAGCTTAGGGAGGCATATAAGCTTCTATGTAGGATGAAAGTGAAAGGATGCAACCCTGATATCGTCCATTACAATACTGTTATTTTAGGGTTCTGTAGGGAAAACCGTGCACATGATGCATGTAAGGTGCTCGAGGATATGCCTGCAAATGGTTGCTTGCCGAATTTGGTGTCTTATAGGACTTTAGTTGGTGGTTTATGTAATCAAGGTTTGTATAATGAGGCTAAAAGCTATTTGGATTTGATGACTTCAAAGGGGTTTTCTCCTCATGTATCGGTTTTGCATGTTTTGATTAATGGGTTATGTAATGTTGGGAAGATTGAGGATGCGTGTTGTGTTTTGGAGGGGATGTTGAAGAGTGGTGAAGCTCCACATTTTGAAACATGGATGGATGTTGTTAATAGGGTTTGTGAGGTGGAGAGTGAAAGATTAGACAAAGTATTGAAGGTTGAAATCCAGCCGAATACAAGAATAGTGGATGCGGGTGTTGATTTACAAAAATACTTACTTAGGAAGGCTCGGGTAAATGAAAATTTTAAATTAGGAACGGGAAAGGTTTGAGTGGTATTCAATTTAAAGAATCTATTGAGACGTCTCACATAGGCCAATATTTCAGACAGGACATGACAAGACACAACAACACATGAGCATGTGTATTGTGTTTGACATGCATTGGATTGATACGCTTGTTAATGGGACGAAAATTGATTTTTTTTTGTCCACCCAAATAGACAAGAGGAACAAAGTGTTGGTAAAGACATCTCCAAACAAACTATTTGTGATGGTGTATATCTCTTTTCTTTGATGAAAAGATATATTTATATGAGAAAATTGCAAAAATGTCTCTGTGGTATGTATTCTTTCCGGTTTTAGTCCAAACCTTAACTTTTTTGGGTTGATCTCATTTTGAGCGCAAGTTTTGATCCCTGTCCAAACTAAAAAAACTATTATATCTTTAATGAATTTATTTTTCATTTTTTTTACTTTTTAAAATTATTTTATTATTATTAAATATAAAAATAGGCCGACGTACTTCTCTCTCTCTCTCTCTCTCTCTCTCTCTCTCTCTCTTAAATACATAACACCCTCACATCTTCCTCGGGGTGGCAAATCGGGTCATCGTGTCGTGTTTTTGTCTGACACGACACGACAATGTTTTATGTAACACGAATACGACACGATCTCGGGTTTTTTTTAACTGGCACGAAAACGAACCCAAAAAAAAACGACAAACACAACACCACACGACAAAGATAACATGAAATAACAATTAATGTATTTAATTAATATTTATTCATACATAACACGAAAAACACGACAAAAAAATGTCAATTTCGTGTCAAATTTTGAACACGAACACGACACGACGTCGTGTTTTTTACACTTGACACGAACACGAATTCGAATTTCAGTTTCGTTTCATGTCGTGTATTTTTGTTGTGTCGTGTCATCAATAGCCACCCCTACATCTTCATTCTCCCCGTCCCAATATCTCCTTCCACCTACATTCAAATGGCGTCACTCTCCATGATCAATTCCAACTCTCATATGGAAAAACTCACCTTCGATATGTTCTCCATTCTCGAAAACAATTTCTTATTCAGTTACGACAAGAAAGCAAATCCCTCACCGGGAAAATCAGAATTCTCTCCATTGATGGAGGTGGAGCCACCGACGGTATCTTAGTCGCCAAATCAATTCTCCATCTAGAATCATCCCTCCCTCCATCGTAAAACTGGAAACCAGATGCCCACATTGCAGATTTCTTCAATGTTGTTGCAGGATCAAGAATCGGTGGTGTTCTAGCCACTTAACTTTTCACTAAAGGAAAAAATGATCGGTCGCCGATGAAGCACTTAAGTTTGTGATGGAGAATGGACGTGGACTTTGTCAGTCTTCTCCACCGAATTTGTCAAGTAAGGTAACTTCAAGTAGTATGTTAGCTCAACACATTGAAGTCTGCACCGGACTCTTCACCCACCACCCACCTTGACCACATATACTCTTTTTTCTTTTCGTTTTGATCTCCAACATAAAATAGAATAGACGTAACTTTTGATATGTCGGGAGTTTGGAGCCCCACTTTATATCGCCTAAAAGCTCGCTCTCTTCTGAAGCTCCTAATAAATATTATTAGCCCAAGGTGGTTTGCACACCCATCTTCATGAATAACATCTATTTAGGCCTTCAATTTTAAGCTTCCCACAGTGTCAACTTATTTCCTTTATTTTATTCTATTTCAATAACAGGATATATATTCTCCTTAATATTATGTTTTTCCGTTATTTATTTAGGAGCTTAATTAGAGGAAAATTATGCCGGTTTAAGTTTTATAAATTTGACAATACTTGCTACATTTCGCTGTCTGTATAAATGGATTTTGTAAGCCTATTGAATTCAATAATATAATCACTTTTCAATATTCATTTATTCTTGCTTTTGTATTGTGTGTCACGATCGGCTTACTCGACGATAACATGGTTGAAGAGTTTTTGGATGAGATCAGTGGCGATTCCAACATTTCTTTTTGTTGGGGGCACTTGTTGAATTTCTTCAAAAACATAAAGGGGTTTCAAGGAAAAATTAAAATAACTAGATTATTTATATGCAAACTTTTTTTTAGCCAATTGGGGCATGTCCCCCCACTCCCAAAGCATTAGATCCGCGATGAAATAGTCGAAATTTTTTTTATTTTTTTTTTAATCATAAACTATCATCTTTTTCCCAACTAAACTTTGATTGTATGCCCATATGGTTTATTGATTCGCCATAGTTGCTTAACCTTGATTCAAACTAAAATTCAGCACATTGCAATATAAATTTAAGTGGTTTCTCAATGTGGTATTTCCATCTTAAAGAAGTTATGGCATTTCTTGCATCGAGCTTTCTTTGGGCCGAAAGACATTTCAAACAAGTCGGTAATTTTGTCAAAATTTAAGGTTCTATGTTGTAGGATTAACTTTGACAACCATTTATAATTGTTTGATGAAGCTACAACTCTAATGGAGACCGCAATATGATGTCATTGCTTGCAAAGAGAAGTAAAGAAACTGTGTGTAGTAAGTGGGATCATGTTTTGAGAGAATAAACTATAAAGAGCGTTTTTGAGTGATGTTATGAAACCAACACATCTAATACCTATTTATACATCATATTTGAAACAAATTCACTAAATAATAACTAACACCTTGTCACCAATGTGGATATAATTCATCTAACATCATCATCAAAACTTTTCTAATAAGATATAATACATTCATAGCATAGCATAAGCACTTTTGAGATTATTTACTATTTGTAAAATATCCAAAATAAAATTCAATAAAACCAAGACATGCTTTATAGAAACAAAAATCAATTAATAGTGATTTACAAAACTGATAGCAAGTTATCAACAACTCAAATAATATGAAAAATACGTACATGTATCATGTATGTAAACATTTTGTCAAAAATAAGCTTAATTCATGTAATAATAACTCACCATCATCATCATCATCATCATGCATCAAACTCCAATCAAGGCTCTTGCTCAGGCCACTTTATAACTTCCCGGAGTTTCAATATTCTACCACTAAATTCCTACAATAAACAAAGAGAATACTAGCAATTAATTATAATCAATAAAACTGGATATAAATAAATAAATAAATAAAGGGGAAATAGACTAAACTGTGCCATTCAAAGACATTGCAGCTTCAAGTTCTTCAGGTGTTGAGAATGAAAGAAACCCATAAACACGATTCTTTCCACCTTTCCGATCATGCAACACTGTTGTACTAATCACATTACCAAATCGACTGAAATGATTTCTCAAATCCTCAGGTTTCACACTCCATGAAAGATTCCCAGCATAAACTTTGTAGGGCGACTCAAATACTAAGTTCTTTTGAGGTCGTGAACTCAGTGACTCGTTGCTTCCATATTTACTATTCATGTCAGATGAAAACCTCACTCGCATTTCACGTCCATCCACATCCTAATGATATGCAACTTATTCACTTCAAAATCGACAAAATTATCATGTAAAAAGTAAAAGATTTTTTGAAAAAGAAAACTCACAGATCCATCTAGTGCAGCAATGGCAGCTTTGGCTTCTTGGAGTGAGCTCATAGTCACATACCCACATCCCTTGCTTACCCCAGTCTCGGGATTTCTTGACACCTTAATAAACCCAAAAACAATTGGATCATTCCTGATTATTATCATCGTAGATGACATTTTTGAACGAAAAGGAACTAGAAACATATGAATGTAGTAAGAAGATTGAAAAGTAGTGTTGGAATTATATTGAGTTTTGTGGGACGAAGCAAGCATGATTTGTTTTGTAAATAATTGATATCATGTTTGGTTGAGGAATTTCGTCGAACAGGTGGAGGACTATGTTAAAGAGATTGAAGAAGGACTCAAGGAAGAAAGAAGTACCTCAACGGACTGAACTGTACCGAAGGTTTTGAACTGATTAAGCAGCTCAGGGATGTCACAGCTTCTGGGGAGATTACAAACGTATAATTCATATGGTTTAAAAGAGTTTCTGAAGTTGGAATCCTCTTGCAAGCTGTACCCATTTCCAGTAATGGCGGGTTCGGAAGAAAAATGTTGTTGTTCACCTTCAACAACTGCTGAAACAGTGAAAACGTCCCTACTGGTAGCCGGATTTTTGGGGCAGAGGGTAAAAGAGGAAGACGAAGAAGACAATTGGGAGTTCAGAAAGTATGTATCTTTCCTGTAAGTGCAGCGATTTGAAGAAATTAAAGAATCTGTGGGATTGGATTTGGATTTACAGAAGGATTGAGAGGAAGAAGACGGATGCGAATGTAATGAGGTTGAGGTTAAGCAATAAGTGGCCATGGATGGAAACTGGAAGAGCTTCACGCCTTCACCCAGCCAACCATGCGTTTGAGATTTTGTTAGAAGTTCTAGAAAGCAGAAAGATCAAAGATGGTACGTTTTTTGTTTTAATTTTAATGACTAAGGCCCAACTTTAAGCCCAACATTTTTCCATTGGGTTTTAATGGTCGGTTTAAGTGGGCCGTGGCCCGCGGGTCGTCCAAGACTGCATTTCCATGTCGACGACTTTATTGAATTAATTCATCATCATTTTCTTTTATAATTTTGTCTCATAGATCCAAATGGAATTTAATAGGTAGTATTTGGAACTTTGGGACTAAATTTTAAGTGGTGTTTGGGACTAAATTTTATAGTCTTCGCATAATATATTTGTGTGTGTGTTTTCAATATGGAATTTCACAATTCCTTAAAGAATTTATCATATTTCTTGCATTGACAATTTCTTCTGACGAAATTTCACACAAGTCCAGATATTGTCATATTTGCGTGTTTCATTTTGAAGTCATTACGTGTTTCAAAAATGGTCCTTTCCAACTTTTTTTTTTTTTACCATAATTCCGAACCCTGTATGTTTTATAAAAAAAAAAAAAGCAAATAGTTGTTAATATAAAGATGCAAATATGAATCGAGATTGGTTTTGAGAACAATATGTTCTTTCATACATTTCAACAACATTCCTTACACTACTTTGACAATTGAAGTGATGGTTGTTAAAGCTCCCTTGATGAAAAATATTGCGAATGGCCAATATCATATGCCATTTTTTTATTGTAAAAAAATCGAGATTTTCAATATAAAACATAATGAGAATACCTCAAAATTAGAGCTAAAAGCATCAACATATTTCGCAGAGAGGTAAACAAAACAAGATAGTGTTATTGCAAAAATAATCGATTTTTTGAAATTAGAGAGTATTTTGAATGGTGTAATGAAGTCAACACAACAAACACCAATTTATAAACACATGGAACCATTTTTGTAATATTTAAATTTTTACGAACATATAGACCATTCCATATTCCATGTTATTGCATATAGATCATTTCTATAATTTTATTATTATAATTTTTGTTTCCTGCTATTACATAATGTCATTTTTTTTTTTTGTAATTTTACCATTAAATATGACCATCTTTGTAATTTTGCAAATTAAAAAAACTGATGTTTTAATGTGACCTAAGAAACAATAAAAAGACATGGTATATTTTAAATTAAAATGTCTACATAACAAGAAGTCACCAATAAGGCTATGTTATATGTCATACCTCATCACTCCATATTAGCGTGTCATTTTAAAGGTGCATCAATTTTCCCTTTCTATTACTCTCAGAGTGGTCTTGGCAAACCATTCGGATACCTCGGCATTCCGAGCTCGGCTCGGCAACTTGGTGGAAATGTGTCGGTGAGAGATAGTGTATGGTTTGGGGAAAATAGATAGGAAGAAGGGATTTGTTTTTGATTACCGGGGCTGTAGTCAACAAAAATGGAAGAAACTCGTATTCCAAATTTAGGGAGAGATAACAAGTTTTTCAAGATTTGACATAAAGGACCCTAGGGTTAGGTCAACTAACAAAACATACCCCCCCCCCCCCCCCCCCCCCCCCCCCTAAATTCCCTCTATAAAAATAGTTTTGTGAAATTACAAAATCAACCCTTAACTTATAAATCATAATTATTATTCTAGTTAAATGAAATTTTAGTTTTTTTTTTAAAAAAGTATTTGAAATGTTTATTTTTTATATTAATTATTAAAAAAAATGGTATGCCAAATGTGACAACCAACGTCATGTAAATGACAAAAACTAGAGAGTGTGACAAATCTTAGATGACGTTGATGTGGACCATGACAAGTGTGACACCACACCCACGAGTCTTATCACCACTTTCTATCACTTCAAAATTGTTAAGTTTTAATACATATAATATATAAAACAAATTTAAATACAAGATTAATTAAAATTAAAGATGTTTTATTTATTCATAAAAAAATTATAAATATTAATCTCTAACTAACTTTTTTATAGCCACTGTCGATTAAAGGTGTGAAGTAAGTTGGTAAAGTAAGCTATGGTGAAAGGAATACAATGGAATCTATATCTATACTAATAAATAAAACCCATTTTTTGTCACATGTCATGTCCTCATTGATTTTTGGACACATGGCATTTTAATAGATTTTTAGAATTTATTTATTTCCAAATGTAATTTTCTGATTTGTTCACATACTCACAACTTATTTCGGTTACAATATTGCAAGAAATAAATGCTTCGATGAAAAAGAATTGATATATTTGTAATGTAATAAATGCCATAATTAATGACAACTCTAAAATTGATTTCTTTCTGATGTAATTTCCTAAATATACGATTTCTCATATACTATCACGACATATGTAACCTATCATCCTTGTCGACTGCAACATCTAAAGAAGTTCAGCAAAGACGTCTGTCATTGTTATTCTTCTTCATCTCATTTTGCATACAAGTATGCATCTGTATCTGTGAGGATCACTTCATCTAAACAAATTCATCCTTTAAATAAAAAGTGATGATGGTTCTATGGTGGATCGAAAAGCAGGGACCTTTTGGTATACATTCGGTTTTGGAAAATATTAGAAAATTGTTACATTTGCCAAAATAAATTTGATTGTGTATTTTTTTTGTTCAAGATAAAACATAATAGTTATAGTTTATTGGAATCAGTAAATATGTTTCAAATTGTTTATTGGTGTTTTATGATTTTGCAGTTCTTAAATAACATAATTATTTAATATTTATGTAAACCTCAAATTACTCCAATTGTATAATCGACTTACCACATTTCCCCTTCCATTTCTAAAAACACCCACAAATATTTTTCCATGTTCGACATTTCATTACTATTGTAATTTTTTTATTATGTTACATTGCAAATTCAATTGTTCAATGGAATTGCCCTATTTACCCATGCCTACCCCTGCCGCTGTTGTTGTTTTTGTTTGTGAATTTGTGTAATGTAGCATCATAATTCATATTTCGTTTTTACACCATAATAGCATCATATTTACCTTTTTATCCCTTAATGGCATCATAGTTTCATTTGTATCACATAATGTATTATGTATTTGTATCACATAATGTATTATGTGATACAAATGAAAGTATGATGCTATTAAGGGATAAAAATGCAAATATTCATTTCTTGTAATAACCCCGTGTAGTACATGGGTCTCACACCTAGTCATACTAATAAAAGAGTGGTGATGAGTTGTTTAGTGCAAAAAGGTTATCAGATCTTGTCGTGGTTGAATTTTGTGGAATGAATTTCGTTTGGTGTTAGGTTGTTGAAGTTTGGATACATATTGTGAAAGTAAGAAAATTGGAAGTAAGAGGTTGTTTGTTATCTTAGAAAAAACTGTTAAGACCATTTTTACTACGCGACACAGCACACGTACAACACGTACCTTCTCGCAACAGTTTGATTTTTGGAAGTCTTCAGACTATAAAACGTCTGTGCGTGTTTTGCGTGACGCAACATTTGACTTGTCTCTTCAACTTTCATTTTTTCCAAATGATTTTTCTTAGAAATTTGGTATAACTTGATTTTTTTTAAAAAACTTTGATTTGCAGATTTGGATACAATTTCCTCTTATAGTTTCTACAATTTTTTATAATTTGATTAAAAAAAAACTTTGATTTTTAAATTTTTTTTACCCTTTCGTTTAATAATATTTTCAGTTTCGGATGCATCTTTTTTAACATGTATGATTCTTTTACAAATCTTCTATACATTGTTTGTAATATTTTCTTAATTTTTTTATAATTTTTTTATGTTCTTTAAAATTAGTTTTTTCTAGTAAATAACTGATAGCTTTTTCTTATATATTTTTTAGATTTGTTTTTAGAAATTTTATACTTTTGTTTTTTTTATATTTTTTTTAGTATTCTTTCAATGTTTTAAGACTATAATTATTAAAATATCAATGTTGAGAACTATTTTCAGTTTGTAAAATCAGTTTATTGCAGCAGTCTGCAGATATTAAAAAACAAACAAACTTCTTATTACAGGTTGCAGTCGTTCGGTCCACCTTTTCTGCTGTAGATGGTTGCAGAGGTGGTCCGCACACTTCATGAATTTTTGCTTCGGAAAAACAAACAACACCTAAGTTTAAGAGAGAAAAATATAGAAGTTTGATGAATTGTAAATAAAATTGGTTGATTGTATTGATATTTATATAATTGATTTTAGAGAAAAAAGATAGTCTGGTGTTAGTGGGTTCACGGGTCACCACACCACAGGGGCACCTCGCATGTGGGGTTGATGTCCACGTCTAAGAAGAGTTTCCACCTCAACATCATGTCGATGGTGTGAGAAGCATACCGAGTAGCTTGATCCGCAATCTTAAAGAACAACTGATTAGATGATTCATTAAGATGCTTCATTTTTACGCTAAATTATATTTCTTGTTTAATAAAGATTTATAGAAATAGAAGTTCTTGAATTATAAAGTTTCCTTAAATAAAAGTTTTTTGGGAAATGGGATGTTCTTCCCAAAAGAAATAGACATTGCATTGCTTTTGAGATGTTGATTCTAAAAAAAAAACACTCTTTTTTTTAGGTAAAGTTTGTGACATTTTTTATCTAAAGATAAATGAAATGAAAGACATTTGCTTAAGAGGCATTGATTCTTTAAAAAAACATAACCTATTTTTTTAGGGAACCAACTTAATCCATTTTCATAGTTGAAGCACAAATAAAAATCAAAGTATTAAAAATATGTTTTCATTCAACAGCCACAATTGAAAAATCACTATTCCAATCTATCCAAATTTAAGATGATAGTTTTCAACATCCCTACTATAATGCATATATTTATTATAAAAATAAAAATAAATATCTAATACGTTTTCAGTAATCAAACTAATTGATTAGGTTGATCCAAGATTATCAAGATCGAGATCTTTCATATGATCGTTTTTTGCTTTGCAAGATCGTGATCGTAAGACCGAAACGGATCGTAAGATCCTACCAAAAGCATTTTAATTCATAAAAAATATATTTTCACTCATCTGTTAACCAATCAGTTAACAA